ACTATTCAAAATTTGTTCGTGCGAAAAACGATAAGCATTGAAAGTGTGTAAAGGTGTGGCAAATTCATATGAGCTTTTTCCACGTCCGGCATTTACAGTCCATTAAAAAATGCAAATCACAATGGGTGGCATTAAAGTTTCCCGCCATGAAAAAAAATAGAAAAAAGTACAGAAGCTTCTCCAGTGCGAACAATTGCCAGCGACAATTGCTGTAGTCACGTCGAGCTCAAAAACATCAGCGTGACATGAGAATTCTAAAAAAAATATAGATGTGACCTGGACAATAGGCACTCCTGCATCGAATTTGATTGGAAATGCGTTCATATCCGGCTAACGCGGCATCCGGTGCGAGCCGCGGCCGCACAAAATGAAACTCTGCAGGCGCGAGGGGCCAGCAGGTGTTTGCCAGTTTGTCAGTTCGTGCCCAATGATTGATTCTGGCCCAGCTGCAAAACAAACTAATAAGCCCCGCTGGCAGTCGGCTTGGCAGGTTGGCGACAGCTTTTTATTGTCGTGCAACAATGCGTAGGTGTTTTTGCAACTGCAGCCACACATGCCACACACGCACACCCACAAATAAGCACCCATGTAGCCATGTCTGTGTCTGTTTGGATCTTAAGCGCACAACAATGCTGCTTGTACGCATGAACAGCTCGAAAACAGGATCAAAGTTGCTATGGTGCACGCCGCTTGCTTTGGTTCACACGTTTTTTGCCCATCGGAATGCAATACAATAAATATAATATAATTTACACCTGTAAAATACAGTCACACGCCTGGGCATTTGCCTAATAACTGTGCAACAAATCTCCCCCAAAAGCAATGCAAGATTCACTTATACAGAATTCAAAGAGTAATCGCTAGTTTGCTTATAAAAAAATAAAATTACCAACGCAACTATAACATTAACTATGGCAACCTTAGCTCTCTAATCGAAATTTTCCTATTAAATTATTCAAAACATAAAAATTACAAAATATTTTAGGTAAATGATAAAAAAAATAATTTTAACTTGAAAATAACGTCAGGTTTTGTTTAGCGCCATCTTTCGCTTCTTTTTTTTTGTGAACAAGCGACTAGCCCTGCTTACCACAAAATCCATACTGCTTGTAAGCAGTGTATACGCGCAGAATTCAGAAAGCAGTTGAAATTTTCGTAACACAAGCTGATTGCTATGTAATACAATATTTGAAAAATATAAATATAAAGTCCGTTACAAATCTTAGGCTAAATAAAAAAGTCAAAACTGACTGGATGAAATATAAGCGAAAGCAATTACAATACCCGACTACAAAAAAAACAAGCCTGTAATTATCCTACATAAATCGATAAATTTTCATCGACATACCATTGGAAGCTATATGAAAAGCTCAAACCAGGACATGCGCAGAACATCCGAAGCTGACTTTAGGCACAACAACAAACAACCGCGAAGAACAGTCGAAACCAATGCAAAGCACATTGGGCCATGCTTAACGCGCACAGAAAAGGCGCGAACCTGAACGGACGACAGAAGCAAATCTGATACCGAAAAACTGAAGTAATGGCATAACTGGATGGGCATAATTTGTGCAAAAGGCCCTTGATGAATGCCTGCGCGTAGCTAACGAGCAGCGCAAGGGGTTGTCAGCACAAGAACGTATAATTTGAAGTACGCAAAAAGTATTCAGAGCCAACCAAATAACATGAGAACAAACAACAACGTGGCTTGGCAAAGCTCAGACGTCGACCTTTTTTGAATTTTGTTTTTTTTTTTTTTTGAAGTCTAAGAACTGCGAGCTTCTTGCTCCTATGTCCTCTTATCAGAGCTTGTTGCTGGAATTCGCGTTCTGGTTCCGGTTCTCTGATGCTGTATCCATGCGCTGGCTTTCAGTACACTCTGAACTGTGGCCACGACAAGGAAAATCGTTTTGAAGCTCTTTTGTTGAAAAAATTTACAAATAAAAAACCTAACAAGCTTGTTGACTATGCTCGATTGGCAGTAAAGTGTTAAAAGAAGCGTGCAAATATTAACTTTAAAAAACAAAATAGTTTATTTAATAATATACACAATTGAAAGATGAAAGTGTTTTTGCTATAAATATGCTGGGGAGACCTTGACATTGAGCAGTAAAAGTGGGACAAAGAAAAACGCGCATTCAACGAAAATTAATTAATTAGGAATTTAACGTAAGTTTTCATTAGAGAAACCTCAACAATAACAAGCCTTCGAATAGGTCAGTAAGCTTGGCAAGAACTTTGCCCTTCTGACACACTGCAAAGTTATTTTTGGCTGCAAAGATGGACGCGAAAAAAAACACGCCCCCCAACAATGTCAGAGTTACGCCTCAGTACGCGTGTCTGACGTCACAGCCCATACACACAACCTCTCAGCTAGGTGGTATATCAATTTGTGTCCAGCAGAACGTCACACAGTTTGTCACTTTCAGACGCTTTGGCGCCAAGACATATCTCATTATATAAAATAATTTGAATTTTATTATCTTTACTCTAGTCAGAAGTCTGATGCAATGCGCGCAAATGATATGGTCAGCCTCGGTGCGAAACCTGAGATGCTACTAACAATTGCTTGATTTGCTAACCACACGAAGCTTTGCGCAAAACCTTGGGCTTAGTATTAATCGTTTAATTAATGTACATTCAATATACCCTGCACCCTGCAGGGTGTGTTACCATTGATCGAATTATGCGTATGCGTATCGTATTCGGGCAGCCCCAAGAGCTTATAAAGAGACTTGCACAAACAGACATACACACACTTAAACAAATGTATCTTCTGACAAGGATAAGCATCTAATTTATTGGCACTTGCAAAGTGCAAAGCGCATTGCAAAGAAACAAAATTTAACAAACGCGCTTAAAAAAGGTTTGGTAACGTCTCGTATTTGCATTTTTGAAGATATCACAGGTTAAGTCATATATAAGATTTTGCGTAATTAAAAATAACGTTTAATATTTAGATCAATGAACAGATTGGTCGAACAGGCTGTAATTGGAAGTACTTTTATATGTATAATGAATCCAGATTTTTAAACACGTTACAAATTTAATCAAACAGCGAGGAAGATATTCGCAATATTCCTTCTTAGCAAATACTCAGAGTATTTATCTATGTCGCACTATAAATTATAAGAATTCTAATATATGTATTAAACTGTCTGGTGAATAAATTCATATAGTAGTGAGGTTCCACAAACTAATTCATTTTTTATTAGTTAGTTATGTTAAACATTCATAAAAATTATTAAATATCAAAATTATAAAATTTTATAAGAAGATTAGAGGCAATGGCAATATCTGCTATGCTACTTTCAAGCGAATTTTATATTCATTAGACTAGTTTAGAATTTTTTGTTTATATTTAGATGTCATTTATCTTAATCAGAGCTTGTTACTAATTCTGTTTGCCATTCGAACCAAATCCCTGCCTTAAGCTTTGTATCCACGAACTCTTCCAAACCCATTTATGTATTCAGGTTCTATTAAACCAGTTATCCTTATGGTAATTAAATAAACAAACAGATATATTTAAATTTGTTGTCACGCTTCTCGACAAAGCTTTAAAATCACAAACGTCACACTCCAGGGAATCTGAAGCATCTGGCAAATGGAAATTGATTTGCATACAGCATCGATATCAAAATAAACAAACCATATTGTATATCAATTGCTAAATAAGTGTACCGCTCTAAAAATTCCTCATATCACGGCAACAAATTGGAATTCCAATTTAATTCACTGACTTTGCATAAATTAAACGACTTTTAAAGTATGTACCTTAATTCAATGACGTTTTGGGCGAACCGTAAATTGTTGTTTATTTAAGTGACTAATAAACCTGAGATTGAGCAAGAAACATCAAACATTTTGAGCTTTCTGTATATAGAACATAAGAACCTGTAAGCAGCTGTAAGTTTGAGTGTAGATATACCCTCTGGCTGAGATTGCAGAGATCTGCAGCATGCTGGTCAATAAACTTGCAGAGCTCAGTGTAATATAAATCTGCGCCAGTTTAATCAGGTTTGAATGAAGCTAATAGTAATATAATTTTATATAAATTCTACAAAGAGCAGTAAATTGCGTGGGCTATTTTGAACTTATTAGAGAAATTGCAAACGATTTTGTTCACTTCATTGTGACAATCGAGACGGACAACTTTGTATCGAGGTAGCTGGGTAGACAGACGTTGCCGCAAGTGCGGATACATTCAATTATAGGGTAACTCAAGCGACAGAGTGTGGGATTTAAATGTGCGCGCAAAAAATCTGTGAGAGGTTGCCATCAAATTTGCATAGGCTAAGCGAATGACAACGCGTTAAAGATACATTCACGTACTTATTGTGTGTGCATCTAATGCGCAAGATACTTTGGTATCTTGTAGTGGCAAACGTACTGCAGCTCATACAGTTGAACAGGGACAGCAATGTCCGAATGTGTGGCTCTTCATCTTTTTAATATTTTCGAGTGCCGAAAGATAAACTATCTAACACGTATGTATGTGGAGAGCGTCATGGCAAAAGTACATCATTCTGCTAATTAGAGTTGCGTACAATTATCGTTAGATAAAAATGACGCGTACTTTTTCCGCCTTGCTGGAGAATATGTACAACAATTAAGAGAAAAAACGATGCGAGAATACGGTGAAACACAAAACCAAAAAAACACAAAATATATATATATAACGAAACAAGAAAAATAAACTACAACTTTTGTTACGGCAACAACAGAGATTCTGATGAAAGCCAAATACACGAAGAAATGCGGCAATCGCCGCGTCAAAAACTCGTTTTCGGTTCAAAATTATAAATTCAAAAATGCCGGTTAGAAACGAACGAGCCCTCCACAGAGCCGCCAACCTCCGACATGTTCGATGTAGCGCAGCAGCACAGCGAGCTTTGCCGACAGACCTCGAAGCTTGAGCTGAGGGCAGAGCTTTATCAGCGGGTAGGTGATGCCCAATGCCAACCAGGCCGAGCACACACTCTGGCTGAGATTGCGCCGCAAAGATGCCGTGGAGCAGCCAACGCTCTTTTCAGTCTGCTCTATTCGTTGGCTGCGTGCGGTTTCAGTTCTCGTCGTACTTGGCAACATTCGACGGATTTTTGTGGCGCGAAATATTGTATTTGCTTTTGAGAAGGTAGCTAACACAATAAATATCAGAAAATGTTTTAACAACTGTGTGTAATCTTGGCCAGAATTAACGCAGAAAGACATTGTTTATTCATTGCCCGTTCTTTTGTTTTGTGCTTTACACAGAAAAGGAAAATAACACAGCATTTTTTCGCTTAAAATTTATCTACATCGCTTAATTTGGACAACGCATTAAAGCCTATCAAAAAACAACTTAAAATTTCAATATTCAAACAAGTGTCTCAAGAGTAATAAATTTATACAAATAACAATTTACACCTCTAAGCCAAACAAAATTCACTCAATTATAAGGTTTAAGCAATTATCGCTCAAGAAGAGGTTCTTTTTTTTTTTTTTAATGCAACCAGTTTACAGTTTGCATTATAAAAGGAGAAAAGCAAATTTGTCGTAATTTTGATAATTACTTTATTAGTCAGCCGAATGTGTGAAAATCTACAATACAGTACAGTATGTATACAGCACCTGCCTGGGAAAAAAAAATGATAGCCGAACTGTGGAACACACATGAATACTGCATATAAGCAAATAGATAGCTACAAAAAAACTATATTGTATGTTGTTTACGGTATCAAAATTAATGGATTTTGTGTGCTATTTAATGCGTACACAATTTGGGCGGCATTCTAATACACATAGCCTGATGAATCAATACGCTATTGTTGTGATTTTGGGCTAAATTAGGGCCAGGTTAATGGCTGCGAACAGAGTGAAAGGCTAGCTACATAGAAGAGACAATTGTTGGAGTCATATGTAGTGCATTTATCTAATGGCTTACTAAATGCCAATTATAATTGCCTTTCACACGCTCGAATTGCGCAAACTCGTGACTAAGAAATGTTGTAAATTTCATAGTAATTCTCTGATATTATAGTATTTGCAAATTTCCGCATAGTTGCCAACGTCGGTAATCGAGAAAACCCCCAATTACAAATTGAAATCCCAATCAACAATTTGCTTAAAGTGCTCAATTTGATTGCCTCACAAATGGAGTCAAAATTTGGACAAAGCTTTTTTTTTTTTTGGCGGGCTATAACTTTTTACACTCCGTTCAAGTTGGCCGCTCAACTGTGAAGCGAAAAGAAAACCTTCAGATGGGTAATTAGCAGCTGAAGCTATTACCAAGAGAACGTACTTTTGGATACCCTGTAGTCAGATTTCAAGAGATCAGGAATTTTATATAATGTGTAAATTATAATGCCCTGCACTAGCAGATCATTAGTTAATTCACCTGCTCGTTTTAACTGTCGCACAATAGTTAATTCACATCTGTTGTTTTTCTCGCTTTAATTTAATGCTAATTTATGCAAAGCGTGTGCCCAGTGCCGGTTCTTGCTTTGGAGGAAGTACCTGGCTATATACATATATACTATACACATATTGTATAAAAACAACATTGTGACCTAATCAGAGCTAAAAGAGTAGGGGAAGAGAGAGTATGACGTGAGCGGTGCCCAATAGTTCGTTGTTTGCTTTCCACAGCCTTGAACTGCTTGAGGAGGAAATTGTGTTTGGATAGTATATTTTATGGGCCGACACGCGCATCCAGTGTCAACAATCAATCTGGGGCTCTGTCAAACTTTATATAGCATTTTATTTAATGAAAATTTTCGTGGTTTAACGAACTCGTTGAAATCTCATCGTCTTGTGTTTCCTCATCGTGTGTCCGAACTGAACCGTAGCTGATAATGAGGTCGATAATAATCAAAAGGTACATGTGCGCAGGGCTATACAAATGTCTGCTGTCGACTTAAGTATTGCAGAAAGGTTTAAGAACTGGAATACGATACGAGTAATTTAAAAGTAAAGTGCAAAATGTGGAGCAAATAATTTGCCTTTTAGTGGCCAATGAACTTTGATTGCCTTTCACTCACAAACATAAGAAGGAAAAATATAATAACAAGCACAAAGTCGTGCCGTTTCAAGTCAGATTTCCAGCTTAAGATTATGAAGCTGGTAGAATAAAAATTATTTAGCTGAGCTAGGCATATAAAAAACTTTAATTGACTAGTCTAAGGCAAATACTACCCAATTAATTAACATGAATCTCAGCTCTTGTAGCTGTTGTGCAAACAATTAGCAAAGTAATGAAAAAACGGCAACGGCCTCAAGAGACTCTTGAATAATTAGTTGCATTATACGAAGAAGTTGATAAAGAGACAGCCATACATATGCTATCTGAAAGACTACGTGTTATGCTGAACAGCTGCTAAAAATAGTCCAGAATATATAAAAACCATATAAATGATATTCTAAGCAACAAAATGGAAATATTATATATATCTATAAATGAAATATTTAACGATATTATCCTAATCTAATCAGATTATATCATAAGATAACTTGATCTTTATCTAATTTGAACTAATCATAATCTTACCCGAATCATAATAACTTGTACCCTTATACTTAATCTGTGCAAAGGACAAATAATTCAATTCAAATGCGGCATTTCTTAAGATTTAACCAACATTTTGTAAACTAACCTTGTCTTTAATGTTATTTTTTCAGGCAGCTTCTTGAGATTTGACAGCTGCAAGCATGGAAACGGAGTCGCTCAATCGCAAGAACTCCTCACGCAAGAGCTCCATTGTGAATGGCAATGGAGATGCATCCGCCAAGCTGACAAATGGCGACGATGGTGCAGGGGATGGAGGTGCTGGTGGCGGCGAGGTGACACTCAAAGCCAAAATGAGCTTATTGAATGGCTGCACCGTCATTGTGGGCTCAATCATTGGCTCCGGCATCTTTGTCTCGCCCACGGGTGTGCTGATGTACACGGGCAGCGTTAATTTGGCGTTGATTGTGTGGGTCATATCCGGACTCTTCTCAATGGTGAGTGTTAAGCGTGTATAAGTGCACGGGGGGTCAGCGACTTATAAATATGGATTAAGTGATATGCAAATGGGCCAACAGGCAGGTAGCTGACACCTGTTGAGGGCTCGAATTGATGATTGCATGCGGCAGTAAACAGATGTGCTTCGATGTGAGGCAAAGACAACGAATGGAAATGCGCGTGCCAATGTAAAGCTGTCAAAAGGACCAACACTCAATTAGAAATGCTGGCAGCGTTTTCTGTTTTAATGAAATTATTGAAATTTCTTGCATTCCCCACACACACACTTACACGCACACACGCGCACACACGCACACCCACGCAGGCCAGACACGCCCTTGTCAAAAGCACGCGCTGCTATTCAATAAAAAATTGCGTATACGCTGCGTGGTCGCTGGCAGTCGACTTGCGGAAATGACAGCCACTTTGGGGTTGAAAGAACCATATTGCTTTTAGAATGTTTTAAATTCTGAATTCTCTGCACTCGTTCAATTCTCTCATCAATATTGATTTAGGTGGGCGCCTACTGTTACGCCGAGCTGGGCACCATGATAACCAAATCTGGAGCTGATTATGCGTACATTATGGAAACGTTTGGACCTTTCATGGCGTTCATACGACTGTGGATCGAGTGCATGATTGTGCGTCCCTGCTCGCAGGCCATTGTGGCTCTAACATTTAGCACCTACGTTCTCAAGCCCTTCTTTCCGGAATGCACACCACCCGAGGATGCATCTCGACTGCTCGCCGTTTGCTGCATACGTGAGTACCAAAGAGAAATACAACTATTTTGTTGCCGGGTATCAGTGCACTCGCAAATGCTGCGTACTTGAACTATAGATTAGACCCAAATCAAACAGATCCCCTGAGAACAGAGTAAATACTCATACGAATGCGAAAAGTGTTTGACTTTGGCTTATCAGCAGCTGGAACCGAGGCGGGAGGTGCTTTGATTTCCGTTTTATTTATTATTTTCGTTGTTGTTTTGTGTAAACAGACTAAATAAACATCATAAAAATCAATCACTATATATACTGTGATGTGAAGGCTGACGAAGATCGATAGAAAATGCTATTAGATTAGCATAAATATATATTCTAAGCTCATTTTATGGCTCATGGAGCAGAGAAGAACTAGGAACTTTTCTAATTTGTACACACTCGTGGAGAATATAGATCGTAAGCTCCATAGACACACTTAGGGATGCATATAGGCTACCATTCGATGATTTGATATTCCCAATCTGTCCCTAAGTAAACGTTATTTATAATTATTTGACGGAACGGAACATGTGTACATATAGCGGTAACTAAAATTTAGTATCTGGAAGGGCATTTATTCTTCGACATCTCAAAGTTAGTTCTTTCAACTTTTGTTTATTCCTCTGCCCAAATGTCAAGGCATAAGTCAGGCACGTACTGGGGGACTGACTGACTGATCGTTTTTATACTTATTTAATATTGATTCAATAATGCGGACATCTACGCGCTGCAGCTATAAAAACTCAATGTCTTTACATTGTGTAAATCCTCAGTTTATTACATCATCCGCATAGTTCATGCCATCTTTAAATCTCTTGCAATATATTGAAGTTCCTTTGTTTCCATTATTTTGTACAGTGGTGCTAACATTAATCAATTGCTGGGACGTTAAATGGGCCACCGCTGTGCAGGATATTTTTACATATGCAAAAGTAAGTTAAATGGGATTTGCAATTTAAAGTCAGAGATTACAACAGAGCCAGGACATTGGCATTTGCAGCTGTTCGCCCTGTTTATTATTATTGCCACGGGCATGTACCAGCTATATATGGGCAATGTGAAGTACTTTACGTTCGATAATAGCGACACGCGGGTTACATCCTTGGCATTGTCCTTCTACTCGGGCCTGTTCGCGTACAATGGCTGGTAAGCGCTAAGCCGCTTTGTCTGTTCGCATGTTTGGTTGGTCTAATTGGATTTGTTCTGCCTGACAGGAATTACTTGAACTTTATCATTGAGGAGCTGAAGGATCCCGTCAAAAATCTGCCGCGTGCCATTGCCATCAGCTGCACGCTTGTCACCGTTGTCTATGTCATGGCCAATGTATCCTTCTACTCAATTCTCTCGCCGGAGGAGGTATTAGGTTCCTCAGCTGTGGCTGTTACCTATGCGGAGCGAGCCTTTGGCATGCTGGCCTGGACCATACCAGGTGGGTGGATATTAAAGAGGGAATGACAGGTAATTGAATTTTACGAATTTTTTCTTATTTATTTTGCATAGTATTTGTGGCACTGTCCACATTTGGGGCCGTCAATGGCATTTTGCTCACCTCCTCGCGCCTGTTCTACGCTGGCGCCAACGAGGGTCAGATGCCAGAGATTTTAACCATGATTCAAATTCAACGATTTACACCCACGCCCGCTGTGCTGGCCATGGCTCTGTTGTCCATGCTGTACCTCACGGTATCCGACATATTTGCGCTTATCAACTATGTGGGCTTTGCGACTTGGGTAAGTTCTGTTAATCATATATTTCTATGAATCAGCTCACATTTGATTTTCCATATAGTTGAGCATTGGCGTTGCGGTTCTCTGCCTACCCTGGCTGCGCTGGGCTCAGCCCAATTTGCCACGCCCCATTCGCGTGCCCTTGGTATTCCCCGTTGTATATCTGATTGCCACCATATTCGTTACTGTTGTGCCCATGTATGCCAGTCCCGTGGAGACGGGCTATGGCATACTCATGATACTGTCCAGCATTCCCGTCTATTTGGTATTCATTGCCTGGAAGAATAAGCCGATTTGGTTCCAGAAATCCATGGGTAAGTTGTTTGCCGTGAACAGACACTGAATTGGCCAGCTGCTTCCTTATCATGTGCTCACCAAAACTGTTTTGCAATACCGTTTCATATATGATTTATGCTGTGCTCCCGTACCTTGCAATTCTTCTAGGCGGACTTACACAAGTACTACAGAAACTGATGATGGTTGTGCGTCCCAAAGCGGCGTCAAAGGTTTTTAAGTTTGTTCCTTACCTTAGTTTTCCTAAGTTTATTTCAAACACGCGACTAACACGCTCACACACTTGCCTGCCCTTTGCACTCTCTACTAACCCCTTTTTATGTTTCTTTAACACTTTTAGACGTATGTCAAATTACTTTTTTATTCATAGTAGCGCACTTAAGTAGAACTTGGCGGTTCTTAAGTTCATAACTAATGCACTTATCGTTCTTATACTTTGCAGTAGGCCTCACACACTTCCTACAAAAGCTGCTCATGGTACTCGGCAAGCAAAAGAAACCAGCTCAGGTGTAGAGATTAGTGGATGGATAATAGCGGTTCATCTGTTGCCAGAGACTACTCAGAAATTATTAAGCACGTGGATATATCATGTTAGCCAACAGCAAATGATAGCATTTAATATTTAAAATTGCATAAACAAATTTCAAAAATGAAAGCAAGCTTTTGTGTATACACTAAATTCCAGAACTTGGCGCGATTTGAACGACGACAATTTGCAAACTTAAAGCGCGCCCAGCTCAGCAATAAAACTACGAATAGATATATTTTTATATATGTTTTAAGTTAAAACTAAGCCCAGTGCAGCATGTTTCATTTTTTCAGCTCACAATTTTTAACTAACACAAAGCTTTGGACTCTATTTTCAAAGACTGTGGAAAACAAATGGAAATTACAAGGGAAAGCAAAACAGAAGTTGTCCAAAGCTTAATGTTACTTGAAATTTACAGATAAGAGTACAACAAATCTCTATAAACAATATATTCACAGTCGGTTGAAGAGCTCAAAAACTACAAAACGGCATAAACAACCCTCTGTAAATATATATAAATGTAATACTCTTGCAGATACGTACATATATCTTATGTAGAAAACCGTTTTAATAGCCAACAAATAATTTGCATCATAAAAAAAGCAATAAGAGTTATCAATGTTTTCTTGGCAGCGCTTTTTAAAAATGTTAATTAAAATATAGTTTAGAAATTAGTACGACATACTCAGAAACATATAAAAGCATTGTATTTTAGGTTGAACTACGAAAAAATTATATTTATTTTTTTTTTATAGGATTTTTAGTAGTTTTTCTTAAGTTAAGTTTCGAAAAGTTGTTTGGTTTCGTAAAGTTGTTTGGTGTCGAAAATTGATATTTAATTTGGTTTGAGAAATACATGTGTATTTATTAGATTTGCCAACTGCCAACTATAGTTTAAAAAACTATACAAATCCAGATGAAATCCAGTTACCTTTTACACTTACTACAATAGAGAACATCGCAAATCGCACATATCCAACTGACAAACTGTTCAAAACATTGCCAAGATGCAAAACATATTTAACAATATACTTATTGAATTGTTGATTAAGATTTATTACAATTTTCTGCATTAATCCATTGTTTAAATGTTGCTTTGAGTGCTTTTAGCATAACAAAATGGCAGAGTACCTCAACCATATAAGGTATATCCTGCATGTAGGCATATACTATATAATTAATATTGAATTATGTAACTGTTACACGTTGTATTTGGCATATTAACTGTTTGTTAGCCTGAAGCCGCAGCTAAATAAAGCTGCTTAACTACTATTATGGAACATATTGTTGACAATAATATTGCAATTTATATAAATGTGTGTATATATATAAATGTATTTTATGTATATTATATATTATATTATATGTATGCTCGTCGAAACAACAAATATTTCGTGTTTCTCATTACAAAAAATATATATTTAACTTATATGAAATGAAAGAGACAAATTCCAAAAACTGATATTAAAGTTATTTCGAAGTTTTGCGCAGGGTTCACAGCTTTTTGACTGATTGCTGCATAGAAATCATTTGGAAGAATATTTTGATCTAGGCAGTAAGCAGGCAATTGTATGATTCCCAACCAAAATATCAGAACTCTGGTGTTTTATATCCGGTCTCTGTGCTCCCGTAAATTTGATATTTCCTGTTGTTGCAGCGTCTCCTCCGCATTAAGAAGCTCGTAGTTCTTGGTGCTCATATAAGTCGACAAGGTGGGCGCAAAGTTGGACTTATTGACCTCCTTTTCCAATTGGCGAAATCGCTTAAGTGCCTCTATATAATTAGCCGATGCCGCCAGATCTCTTGAGCTATTCTTTAGCAGCACGCCCTGGGCATCGCCGCCGCTTTTGTCAGTCAGGATGCGGTAGGAGTTCAGCTGCTTACAGAGTTTCAAAAATTTTTGGCGATACTGGACATTGTAGTGGCGTTCCATGCAGACCTTAACTTCGTTATACTTGGTGTCAATGCGATGATACCAGGCGGCAAGTTTACTGTAGTCCTCATGGGAGAGGCTCACCGGACGATAACGGAGCGACATGCTGGCCAAGTTCCGTTGAGAGTATTTCCTAATCGGATCTAGTGACTGGTTGCTGCTGCTGCTTATCCTTGTTCTGCTGTGTAGCGATGTCTTGGATTCGATGGATTTTGCCTGGAGTTCCATCTTGCTGTGCGTAGCGCCAATGCTCATACAGACCATGTCCGCCAGCTGCAGAAACTTGTGCATCTCCCGTGTGCACTCCTTATCCAGAGGCATTTCACACAGCACCAAGGTAAAGATGGGTCGCTTGGCATCAAACGATTCCTTGATGCAGTCGGTGAGCAGCGTACTCTTGCTGCGCTTACCGGTGGGCAGCGCCTTGAAGAAGTTGGTAATATCCGTCCGGCCATTGCAGTCAAAGATATCGAATATAGATAGATGCACCTTGTGCTGCTTATGGACGCCTTCACTGAGCACAAATTCCACATTGATGTGGTCGTCGCCAGTGCCGCGTCCACGCAGCACAGCATATTCGTTGTGCAGCCATTGGAACATCTCGCGCGTTGTCTGCATATTACGTTTGCTTGACTGCATCTTACCCCGATGCGACCACAACAGCATGTTGACCATATCGAATTTGCGCACATCATAGTACTCCACATTGATACCAATGACTTGGTAGGGCAGCTTTAGCAGAATCTTGTCCAAGTCCGATACCAATAGATGCGTCAGAAGCTTAAGATTATGTGAACGACGAGGCGTCAACCTCAGGAGACATCCGTGACGATGATTCCGAATCATTTGATCCACAAGCCCGTTCAGCTCGCAGCGCACATGTCGATCTTCCTCATAGCCAACAGCGTCAAACTGCAGCTGTTGATAATAGTGCGGCGTCGGCGCCTTGGCCGCTTCCGTACCGCTCTTGGAGCGTAGGAGCAATGTGGTCTTGTCCAGTAACTTGACGTCGCTATCGATTGGTGTCTCCTTGCTGCTGTTGGCTGACTTGTGCATTGTGTCTGTGAGGGACACAACAACGCGATGGACCTTGTCACACATGACGGGAGGGAACTCTCTTGTTTCTGTTTTTGGGCTGTTTGTGAGAGGTAATATCTTTTACATAAAATTTTGATAAAAGTTTACACAATTTTATTTCAAGTCGAAAATGGCATCTGAACTAATAAAACAAATACAGTTTGCTTTTTTGAAATGTATAACTAAAACAAGGTTAACATCAAAGTTTCAAACTAGAGATTCACACAAGAGTTTCCTCTATAATAAATGCTAAGATATACAACAACTATTATTAATAGGCACACATGAGCGTTTACATAAAATTAAAAATACATGTAAGCAATGCAAAATATTTAACGGTGAAATAAAATAAAATAATAATACTAATTTTGAATATTGTTCACCAATAGGTTTCTTAATTGTACAAGTTTAGCCTCGGATGCGAGCAGAGTAGCAACAAAGCCGGTACGTTCTTTTAATAGTTGGCAGTGGGTGCGCTTCAACTGCTGCTCGTGCTGCACATACGCCAGGAGCTGGTCATGAAGTAATTGAAAACGTTCATTCATCTCCTGGTGGCAGAGCTCAAGCTCTTTCAATTGGACCAGAGCATCAGTGGTTGGCATGACAACTGTTGGCGACATGTGGACCTGGGAAAGGGTACAAGAGAAGTAACAAAGAGTGTATGCTATATACTTGATTTACTCACAGTTTCCACTCGCTCCTGAATAGCGTCACGTTGCTCTGTGGCCAAATGCGCTAAGCCGAGCAGCTGCACATTTTTGCAATTCACCTGGCTGCCAGTGACCAGGACATGGCACAACATCAGCATATATAATGATTTGCCGGTATTCTCTTCAGCCGCTTGGCGCATATAGGTAGTCAATTCCGTGACTGAGAGCGCAGCCGTGAGAAGATCATTGCTTAAATAGCAGCGAAGGCCACACAGCGTGCCCAAGCACATCTCCTCCATGGCCACAAGCAGAATGTGAAATTTGACGCTAAAGCGACTGCCCTGCTCCTCACGTGTCAGCACATAATGCACCTCCAGAGCCTCATGTCCTGTGGCCAAAGCAGTGCGCATGCGATACTCATTCAACAGCCAGCTCATCAAATGCTTCATATCGCTGAAATTGCTCTGCGTGTCCAGACTACTTGAACTGGTGCCTTCGACCACATGCCTGTAGCGAACAGCGCAGCCTATCAGTTGCAACGATTCCTGCTGCAATTTCACATTGATCTGGACGATGAGCGTATCGACGAGAAACATCAAATGATAGCCACGCTCAGCAGCCAGATGCATGAGCAGGCAATCTCTTTGATCTACTAACAGAGTATGCAGCAATGCTTTCAGTTCACGTTCCTTGTGCTCCTCATTCCTCTGCGCACAGAGCATATCGAAGCGCAGCTTCTGCGCAACAAGCACATGAGGTTTGGAAGCGTTTTGGCAGCACAAGAGTCTTAAGGTTTTATCATCCGATACGCTCACTTCGCCGCCATATTGAAAAGTGTCTTTTTTGATGGCAGCACCTGTTTGTATTTCGCCAGAGTTTTGGTTTAGATAAACAATAACGCGTGTCTGTACCATAATGATTAGTTAATAATTTCGCACTAATCAAACACCAGTTCTAAAACGTACAAAAATGAACTTCACAAACGAAACGCACATTTGGAAGCAAGGCACCGTTACTTTTGCAAGCTGTAAGTGTGACCGTCTTTTCAATAATGAAAAATCCCGAAAAGCAGAACACACCTGGTATCGATGTTACTGGAACAGCGGATGTTAAGAGCCAAACAAGTAATGTTAAGTGTTATACGACTAGCAAACTACGCACACAAAACGCAAGTGAAAAATTGTAATGAAAAGAGCAACAAGTGGCAATTTTTAGCAATAAAACTGCCACTAGCAATAAAATAAATTAAGTTAGCACAATCTTCACGTAAAGACAACCCACAAAGCGATGCAGAAGATCACGAATAATGAAACAGCTGCCATCGCAGAAAAAACACGCCGGCTGCAGCATTCATAACAAAAAACACACACGCACACATACACACGTAGATACACCAACAACAAGCAGCGAGACTTCAGCATTTTTGCACTGCAAGCGAGCAGTGTTTGAGGGTTTTTTATTAAAATTTAATGAACAAATTTACAGTTAAATGGCAGCGAAAGAATCATTTCGCGAAAGACAGACGGAGGAATTGGAAGTTATAAAGGCAAGTTTTATTTATACGAACCTACTTGCAAGATGATGAAATGAACGTTTGCTATTTGTAGTCCATATTCGGCGCCGATGTGGAGGATCTGAGACCGCAAAGCAGTGCCTCGCAATGGAAGCCTACAGACATACGCATACTTCTAACCCCACTGCGAGACTCCTCCAATGGCCTGCCACAAGCCTATGTTTGTACCAAGCTACATGTGACATGTCCCTCCAAGTATCCAAAGCTGTTAGTCGGCCTATATTGGTGTGCCACAATTAGCTAATACGCGGTTTTTTTTTTTGCAGTGCCCCCAAAATAGTACTCGAGGAGTCAAAGGGCATATCGGATCAGTTGCTGGAGGCTCTGCTCGCCCAGCTGCATGCTCAATCTCAGGAGCTGCGCGGCGAGGTAATGATTTACGAGCTGGCACAGACCGTTCAGGCATTTTTGCTGCAGCACAACAAACCACCGAAGGGTTCATTCTATGACGAAATGCTACAGGCTAAGCAAAAGCGTGAACAGGAGCTATTGGATATACAGAAGCGAAAGGAAACTCTAGAGCGGCAGACGCTCATGGACGAGGTGGAGCGTCGCAAAGAGATGTTTAAAACGGAAGCCAAGCGACGCGGCGAGCCACGACGCAGCATGAGCGAGTCCAACAATCGCCATCCCAGCTCCTCGGAAAGTTCTGAGAGCTCCTCGCCCTACTATCGCGGACACACATATCCAAACAAGTGTCTGGATCATCGAAATACAGAAATGCTCTCCTTTTACAAGGTGGGCAGGCAAATCCAACGCGGCTGTTGCTTGGGTAACTACTACTCTTGTCTTCATTGTTTTGTAGCTTATGTATTTCCACTTCCAGGTCATTCGCAGCGCGGCTGCATTGCCTACACTGGCGTCGATATGCACTCTGGCCAGCTGCTTTACTTAACCGAGTGGAATATCAAGTACTCGCAACTAGAGCAGCCCTGTGCTGGCAATGGAAAATGCCACTGGAGTGCCGAGTCCAAGTGTGTCGGCAACCATCGTGTGGATGAGCTGATAGCCTCCATAGAGAAACAGGTCGCAACTCTGGCACAGTTGCAGCACAAGAATCTCATTCAATACGAGTGCGTGCTCTGCATTAAACGGAAGGAGGGCTTACTGGTCTATCTGGTGCAGGATTTTTTACTGGGTACTAGCGTTTTCAGCATCTCCTCGACGCTGGGCTGGTGTATGGATGGTGCGCGCATGGTGGCACGTGGCGTGCTGGAAGCTCTGGTGTTCTTGCACAACAAGGGCGTCTCGCACAGCCACCTGCTCGACAGCACCGTATTTATGGACAATGCTGGTAACATACGCTGTACAGATTTCTCGCTGGTGCCAAATTTGCTGGAGTTGACTGGAGGCGCTGGCCAAAGCAGCAACCGCGGCGATCTACCAGCATTGGGCGCACTCGTAGAGGCACTGATGCCCACCCACAGCTATGAAATGCGAGAATTTGTGGACAAGTAAGTACAGCTAGTATATGCGAATAGCAAACATCAACTGTAAATGGTTTTATACATTTAATTCCGTTACAGATGCCATTCTGATCGCACACTGTCCGCCTCGGAGCTGCTGGAGCATCCCTTTCTGCGTTTATATGTGGACAATGCGCAACAGAACTTGACGCTGCAACACACACAGCATCGCAGTTCACTGGTGCCCCAAAACATCCAAGGATTGTCCATGCAGCGCGCTGTGGTGCCCTTCCAAATACCCACTCTAGCGCTGAGCCAATCTCGTCTGCGCACCGAGTTCGAGGTTCTCATGTATTTGGGCAAAGGTGCGTTTGGTGATGTGTTAAAGGTGCGCAACATACTGGATAACCGAGAATATGCAATCAAACGTATACCACTACCGGCGCGCAGTCGCCAGCTATATAAGAAAATGACCCGTGAGGTGGAGCTGCTGTCGCGTCTGAATCATGAGAATGTGGTGCGCTATTTCAACAGCTGGATTGAGAGTGTTAGCGATGCCGACGCGGCTGAAATGGACAAAATGCTGGGCGGTGATTGGTCACAGAGCCAAGAGCTGAGCACCAAACCGGCCAAGTCCCCGCAGCTAGGGCTAGCCGTGCATGTGGAGGAAACAGAAAGCTCATCGAGCATGTGGAATGGTTACATGTAAATAGCTGGTCTAATAAGCCATTAAATGATTTCTTAACTATATCGCATTGTCTGCAAGGCCCAACATGGACGACTCCGACTCGGATGGCATTGAGTTTGTTGACTCGAATGGTCAAGTAGCAGTGTATGATGACGACGATGAAAACAGCGACAAGGAAGATTCATTGCAACGCAAGATAAGTTCGCCGCGTCCACAAATGCAAGTTATGTACATTCAAATGGAGTTTTGTGAGAAGTGTACCTTGCGGTAAGCTAAGACATATCACAGCTTCTATAAATTATAATTCAAAGAATCATTTTTTTAGTACTGCAATCGATGATAATCTATTTGAGAACACAGATCGTTTGTGGCGCTTGTTCCGGGAGATTGCCGAAGGCTTGGCTCACATTCATAAGCAAGGCATTATACATCGCGATCTGAAGCCGGTTAACATATTCTTGGACTCGCATGATCAAATTAAAATAGGAGATTTCGGTCTAGCCACCACGAGCTTTTTAGCGTTACAATCGAATGGTTCGTGATCAAGCTCAAGGCTTGTCTGGACACAACTAATTCCACGCTCTTTATAGCTGAGTACCCATCGCATTCAACTACTCAGCATGTTACCTTCACGGAGGATGGCACAGGCACGGGCAAAGTAGGCACCACGCTCTATGTGGCACCAGAGCTGACGGGTAATGCCTCTAAGTCTGTTTACAATCAAAAAGTAGACATGTACACGCTGGGCATAATATTGTTTGAGATGTGCCAGCCGCCCTTTGACACTAGCATGGAACGCGCACAGACCATAATGGCTTTAAGAAATCCCTCCATAATTATACCAGAGTGCATGCTGCAGGATAGCAAATATGAGAAGACCGTCAAGGTAAGCTTTTGTATAAAATCGTATACAATAGACTAATTCTTTTTTATTGTTAGATGCTGCGCTGGCTGCTCAGCCATGATCCTGCCCAACGACCAACCGCCGAGGAGCTGCTTGTCTCGGATTTGGTTCCGCCAGCTGAACTGGAGGCCAATGAGCTGCAGGAAATGCTGCGGCATGCTCTGGCCAATCCACAAAGCAAAGCTTACAAGAATCTCGTGGCACGCTGTCTGCAACAGGAGAGCGACGAGGTGCTTGAACACACCTACCATCTAAGCAGCAGTCGTGCCATGAAATCGTGGAACTCGGCCATTGTTATCGACGACATAGTTTCCCTCAATCCGCTTATTGAGTTTGTCAAGGCGAAAGTGGTTAATGTGTTCCGTAAGCATGGTGCCATTGAGGTGGACTCGCCACTTTTGTCACCGCTGTCCTCGCGTAACATTAACTCAAGTGCCAGTTCCAACGCTGTGCATTTGATGACCCACTCCGGTTGTGTGGTGCTGCTGCCCTGCGATCTGCGTACTCAGTTTGCCCGCCATGTAACCATGAATGGAGTAAATCTCATACGGCGCTACTGTGTGGATCGGGTTTATCACGAGGAGCGCGTCTTCAACTTTCACCCGAAACAGAATTACGAATGCTGCTTCGACATCGTCACGCCCAGCACAAGCAGCCAACTGGTTGATGCAGAGCTGATCTCACTGGCCTTTGAAATTACTAACGAGCTGCCTCGCCTGCGCGAGCGCAACATTGCTATACGCATGAATCACACGAATTTGTTGCGCTCCATTCTTATATTCTGCAATGTGCCCAAGTCACAGTATGGCGCGCTTTTTGAGGGCTTCATGGACTTCATTGAGGGCCGTATTTCACGCTTTCAGTTTCATTCCAGCATAACGGCAATCATGGACAAGTCACGTACCTCGGCACAGACCTTAATGGACATGCTGCTGGTAAACTTTCTGCTGACTGGTTCCAGAAGCAGCGTGGATGAGTCTGCCTTGAAGTCACTGATGCGCGGCAAAGGTGAGGCAGCTTCTTTGGCACGTGGCGCTTTGCGTGAACTGGAAACGGTCATAGGACTAGCTTACAGTCTGGGCGTGACGGTAAGTAGTTGATTGAACTGGTTGACTGTCATCGGAAGAGTGAATGTTGTTATTTACCAACAGTGTCCCATACACATTTGGGCTGGCCTGCCCATTAGCTTTGACCGTGCCAGCAATGGTGGCATTGTCTGGCAAATGACCGCCGATCTAAAACCGAATCGTTCCGGACATCCCTCAGTTTTAGCCAAGGGTGAGCGCTATGATGCTATGCTGCATGAGTTCCAGAAACAGGCCCAAAGTTTTAATGCGGCGCTGCCAACGCGTGGCGTCCTTAGTGGAGCGGGACTCTCATTTTCGTTGGATAAGCTAGTGGCCGCCGTGGGCATGGAATATGCAAAAGATTGCCGCGCTATTGACATAGGTATTTGCGTGTGCGGCACTCGGCCGCCGCTCAAGGATGTCACCTACATTATGCGTCTACTTTGGTCCGTTGGTATACGTTGCGGCATTGTGGAGACGGTCGGCGGTGGCGGCGATGAAGCGCAGGAATTGGAAAGACTGGGGGCGCTGCATGTCATATTGGTAGCAGAGAATGGAGCATTGCGTGTGCGCTCCTTTGAGCGCGATCGTTTCCAGGAGCGTCATCTGACTCGCGCCGAACTGGTTGAGTTCATTCAGAAGATGCAGCGCAGCGAGGGCATTAATGGCGGAGCTGTTGGTGGCGGTGTGGAAACTTTTAGCCAGCTGCCCAACATGAGCAGTAGTGGCGGTGGCAGCGGACGCGGCGAGAACGGGCTCAGCTTGTCAGCGTCTAATTCGACCATCAAGAACAATTACAGCCAGCTGCCCAATGTGCAGGTAACATTCCTCACCCACGACAAGCTCACTGCCAACTATCGAAGGCGCTTAGAAAATCAAGTGGCGCAGCAAATGAGCTCAACGCTGGCGCAGTTCATTAAGAAGGAATCGTTTGTGGTGGTAGTGGTGGAGTTGCCGCCAGCAGTGGTCAACGCCATAGTTGGTGCTATCAACCCGAGAGTGTTGCGCAGAAATGAGACTGAACCCGAAATGAATTTTGTGATCGAAAGGTAAAAAAGCTATAAAATCCATTATAATATCTAACTATTTGTCATGACTGATTGATTGACTGATTGACTCACTGACTGATTGCTGACTAATACAGTCCAAAACGAAAGCAGTTTTTTTTCAGTATTTGGGGAAATTCCTCACGCAAGGGTGGAAAACTAATAAAAAACCATTATACATAACATAAACTCTTTCAAAGATCTAAACATTTTTTGATAATGTGGTTCGCTCATACTACAATTTTAAATTTTATCCGGTCGAAATCAAGCTTGTTTTCAAAGTTCTGTATGAAAAAACAAGAAATACATATTTTACCCTCCTTGGAAAATCTTCCACGGGCGGTAAACTGATTATATATTTAATAAAAAAATAATATGTTGGGCAAAGTCGGCTTAATAAGAATCCTTTCATGCTTTTGCAGATTCCCGAAATACAAACGTTATATATTCGAAATATACGAGGAGATCGTGGATAATCTGAGTGATGCCAAGACACCAATAGTGGCCTTGTACAGCATTTCTGATTCCTATTATCGAGTTATCATCTAAAGGTGATTTCTTCAGCTACTTTATGATGCCATGCGATACAGTTTTAGAAGTATATATCCTTGATCGCTTCAAATTAGGTTACGTTTAAGTTTTTTATTAACTAAAGTTTCCTGCAATACTTCTACAACTAGATTTCTTTAAGCTGTGTTCAGAGGCCAATGTATACTTATTTACCAAAAACGATGTAAAGACTACAAAAAACGTTTAATTTTTCAAACTGTGCCGAGTTTTTCTTTATTGGCATTCAAAATTATTTATTTTTAACAATTTAATTAAGGAACTGTACCAAAACTGCTATAATTGGGACTATCTACTATTTATGGCAAAGCCTAAAATATTAATTCAAAATTAAATTTCTTTCGCATATAAGTAATAACGGGGTTCCAACTGCTAATGAAAATTACAATTTTCGCAATCTCGAAGTCCCTTTAACAGAGCAAGCACCCATTTTCAACGTACCAAATGGCATAAAATTTACAATAAAATGTATTTTAAAGAACTATTTTACATAATTCATAATTAAAATGATTTGTTTAATGTATATACATGAAATTTATAACTTAATATATAATGTATTTGCAAGTCTAAAAACAGAACAAAACTGTAAGCTGTACAACTGCTTGAGTTATCCCAAGTTTCAATCTTCAGCAACTTCAGGAGCTGTTCTCGCTGGCTGCCGCTTTGTTCAGACTACGCGCAATACCCACCGCTGGACCCTGTAGCACTTTGCGGGAGAGCCGCATAAAACCAGAGACCGGATCGCGACCAAAGTACTTTACTTGTATTTCCTGATCAACCTCCAAGCCCAGCGCTGAGGGATGCGCAATCTTGCGTTGATCTAGCTGCGAGTTGTGCAACAGTGCAGGGGGCATGCTTGGATACAAAGTGACCATCACGCCTGTATCCCGCAGCTCGGTGATTTTGGCTGTGTAAATTCCACCGAATTCCAAATCTGGCACGCGTTCCTTCTGCATGTAACCATCGATCAGCTCTTTGGCCTCATCCAGCGCCGCCTGTGAGGGGGCAAAAACTGTGAATGAACTGTCGTCGGCGGCGGTCAGGGTGGTGCCTGTTTCCAAGTAGATGCGCTTCATATGCAGTCCGCTGGGTCCAATGAGTTGAGCACGCTGATGTGGCTCCACGGCGAGACTCTCGCTGACAGGCCAGCAATCCTTGCGGTATTTCCTGAAAAAAACATGCAAACGAGCTTAGTCGATATTCAGATAAAAGATCTAATTGGACTTACCGTGGTTCTTTGATGCTTTCACCCATGATATCCAGTATTTTGGACTTGGCATCGGTGGCTTTTTGCAGTGACTCCATTACCACTTTAAGCGGTATGCCCGGTATCTTGAGATCCGCTTGAATGGCAGTAAAGCCTTTGCGCGTGCCCGCCACTTTCATGTCCATGTCGCCCATGTAATCCTCAATGCCCAGTATGTCAGTCAAAATGCGGTAGTCCTGCAGATGCTTGGTATCATTTTTCTCGTACTTAGTGACCAAGCCAATGGCCACGCCGGCAGCAGGCGCCGTTACTGGAACACCCGCGTCCATGAGTGCCAGGGAACCACCACAGACGCTCGCCATGCTGCTGGAGCCATTCGATTCCAGCACTTCTGACGTCAAGCGCACTGTAAATGGATAGTCGTGCGGCAGTGTGGGAAGTAAAGAACGCTCGGCTAAAGCACCATGGCCCAATTCTCGGCGTCCGAGTGGTCCAATCCGGCCCACCTCTCCAGTGGCGTATGGAGGAAACTCGTAGTGCAGCATAAAGTTTTTGGCCTTCAGGCCACCACTGTCCAGCGCCGCCAACGTATCGAGCTTCATGGCACTTTCCGGCGAGTCCAGACTGACCGTGCAGAAGACCTGCGTCTGGCCACGTTGGAACAGGGCCGAGCCATGCAACGGTTTGTACATGTCTACCTGGCAACTTATGTTGCGCAAACTATCGTAGTCGCGACCATCGCAGCGTCGGCTACTCTCGAAGATTAGCTCACGGAAAATATCACGACAAGCCTTATTAAACTCCTCTCCAATGGCTGCGGGATCTGTGTCTGGATATGACGACCACACCTTGTCAATGACATTGGCACGCACCTCGTTGACGGCAGTGTCACGAGAGATTTTGTCATGCTGTGCATCTTGAAAGATTTCACGCAGACGCATCTCACACATGCTCTTCACCGCCTGCACCAGCTCTAGATTCGATTCAGGCAGCGCATCCACTTCACGTTTATGGCGTCCATAAGCCTTTTGAAGACGTTCGATTTCATGGATGATAAACTGTGCCTCACGCGTGCCCTGCTTGATGGCCTTCAGCAGATCCTGCATTAACACTACATTACCCTTTCCCTCCAGCATGACCACGAGGTTCTGTTTGGTGGCTGAGACAACCAAATCCAATTGCGAAGTTTGCAATTCGCGGCGCGTGGGGTTAATCAGTACCTCACCATCGTTCAGGCCAACACTTAAAAATGATTACACGGAAAATTAAAAAAATTGTAATTTTTCATGTAACTTCGAATTTACCGCACGGCACCTATGGGCCCATTCCAGGGTATGTCGCTCAGGGAGAGCGCCATGGAGGCCGCATTAATGGCCAGAACGTCTGGCGAGTGTACCGCATCCATGGCCAGCATATTACACACCAGTTGCGTCTCGTTTCGATAATCCTTGTCAAACAGTGGACGCAGCGACCGATCTATTAGACGCGCCGACAGTATCTCTTTCTCCGATGGGCCCAACTCTCGGCGCATGAAGTTCATCGGTATGCGGCCCGAGGCTGCATTCTTCAGGCGATAGTCCACCACCAGCGGCATGAAATTTTGTCCAGGCGTTGGCTTCGCCTTTGCCACCGTAGTGACCATAACCGCAGTATCTCCCATTTGGCAAACGGCAGTGCCATTGGCAAAACGCGCTAGTTTGCCCGAGCTAATGGTCATGTTTCGTCTGATAACGAAAGCACATTATAAAATAGTTTTTGTTCTTGGAAGATTTTTGCCAATTGTCTTACCCATTGCTGAAACTGACCTCTACGGAAGGGACTTCGCCGTTGGTGGCGCTTTGTAGGCAGCGCCGATTAATTAAGAGCGTTGAACCAGAGCATTTCAGGCGATGGCTTAGTAATTTAAGTGCTTTTCTCGTAAAAATCATGATTCAAGGCGCGCAAGTTATCTACAATTTGCCGGTTGTCTGCGGCTGTAACGAACCTCGTGTAACCTTCGCGCAATGTACAAAACTACTTACAAAATTAAAAGTAATTTAAAAACGTGAATATGTAGTAAACCATATTTTTAAACTACGTAAACTGATTCAACAACTTGTTTTCATATTAATAAATTTAACTTATTTGTTATATGTTTATCACACTTGTGACGTCACACAATGTGTTTTTTGTAATCGATAACAAAAACTTATCGGTCTAATGAATTTAACAGTAACAGTCTGTGGAATGTTCACTTATCGAAATGCAGTCATGTCGAAGGAAACAGTCTGTTAAGGCTTTTATGAGTCTTGACTTACAGCACGTTAAACGCTGTGCCTGTTAATTAACAGCATTTGTGTTACGAACGGACGTGGGTGTATACCTCTTTTGCTAGCGCGGACGTATAAAATATTTAAAAATTATTGTTAATTAATACGCGTGCGAGCCGCAACAAATGCAAATTAAACGTGCGTGTTGTGCAAGCCAATTAAATCAAGTGCTTTAAATTTTTGGCATTCTGTGTTCGATCGCCGCGCTCTTGCTCTATCGTGTGTTTGTGTGTGTTAGTGTGTGTTTGCAGCGCGCAAGTTCAAGTGTGTGAGTGCGTGTATGTGCAAGTGCTAGTAAGTGTGTGTTTTGTTGGCCAAAAGCAAAACGCAAAGAGAGCCGCTATAGCAGCGGCCGCAGCAGCAACAAAAAGAAGAAAAACCAAAATCGACAAATGCGGTCAAATTGAAAAGAAGAAATAAAGTATTGGTGTCGCCAACAACAACAATAACAACAACAACAACGAGACAGAAGCAGCAGCAAAGCAACGCAAAGCAAAGCAAAAGCAAACTCAAAAGCAAACGCAAAACTTGCCGAGAAAGCGTGCCGCCTGTGCCGACGTCAGAGTTGACGCTGCTGCCGCTGTCGTTGACGCCGTCGCGTGTGTGAAAAGCCGGAAAATTGCTTCACTAGGCGTTGTCGTTGCAAAGACCTTTTCTAGCGCGTCTCTTTAATTTGTTTATGCTGATCTGCCTCTGTTGCTGTCTCTGCTGCTGCCCTTGCGCCTGTTCTGCGAATTGGATGACTCGCCTTATCAACGGCGCCCCCTTATCAGTCACATTCTGATTGTTGCGAAAAAATTATAAAAATACCAAAACACATACTAAAACCTAAGCATTTAAAGCACAAGCGGCTGCTTCTACGGAAACAACAACAGCAAGAACGCAAAGCAAACAGACAAGGTAAAATTCGCTTGCCTAACCCCACCATCAACAACCCTGCTTTAACTTTGTCAAAAAAAATTATTTAAAAGGTTTTAGTCCGCTGCAACAGACTGCGCAATACTCTGTTTATGTATGTAATAACAATCAAAGCAAGTTTAAAAGAACTATCTGGATTCTTGGGATCTATATCCTGGAAGGCAGTGTCTTTCAAATTGGGACTAGGAAATATTGATTTATCCCTAGAGAAGCTCATATACAGTTCCCAGTCCAATTAGGTGGCTCTAGCTTTAAAACTGTAAGACACATGATTTTCTATCTATATATATATATATATAAAGGAATTGGTCCTGGCAGATTGTGTGGGGATCAATGGATGGACAAACCACTAAGCTAAAATGCTTACGTAGTATGTTTGAAACATTCGACTATTAAGTGGCGGAAAACAGTGGTTAAACTTTGTATGAAAAGCATCAAAAACAACGCATATTGATTTTCGCGGTTTGCCAAGCCCCCCAGAGGGCATACAATCAATTTTAACGATATCTGACGCGGTTATACACGCGTATATTTTCCAAGCTTCAAGCTTCTAGCGACAATAGACAGACAAACCGTGCACAAAACCAATATACTCATTTTAGCTTATGACTAGAGTATAATAAATTCAGCTGCACCCATTTGCCTGCCGCCTTTTAATTGTCACACCTCATTAGCTGTTAGCTTTGCCAGCGCCGGCTGCATAAGTGCTTTAAAGTATTTACTGTAATTTACACGCCGTCTGTCCCGCGTTGCCCCAGCCGTGCC